GGGGAGCAACGGGACGGGAACCGGAGCGGGCACAGCCGGGGGACAGCGGGGGCAGGCACAGCCGGGGGACAGCGGGACCAGGCAATGGAGACACTGGGAAACGGATGGGACACCCTGGGATGGGGAGAAAACAGCCAGGGAGCGGGACTAGGCAAAGGACATCTGGGGACTGGGACATGGGATGGGACAGTCGGGGACCAGCGCCAAGCAGGAGACATTTAGGGACTGGGGCAGAGATGGTCAAGGGGACACCCTGGAACTGGGACCAGGCAAGGAACATCCAGAGAGCAGGACAGGGATGGGACACCCAGGGAGCATGGTAAGATGGCAGAGGGACACGGACCAGGAGCAGAACCAGCTAGGATGGGCACGGAGGGAGTGGGAAGAGGGTCACAGGACTGTGGGACAGTCGGATGGAGACGGGCAGGACGAGACCAAGGCCAGGCAACGTGGGAGGAGGAGCACGGAAGGACACACAGACAGGAAACACCAGGACAGGGAGACAGGACTGATGGGGACTGGCACAGGCAGACACGGGGACGGAAACACCCACGTTGGGGCTGAGAGAGGGACAAAGGCTGACACAGACCCACGGGGAAGGGAAACAGTGAAGACGGGAAATGGCAGGACAGACGGACGGAGCCTGGACTGGGGGACAGAGGGATGGGGACAGCCAGACAGGGCCTGGCAGACTGAGGGACAGTAGGACAGGGTGTGGCCCAGCTCAGGCCACTTGGACCACAGAAGAGCATCCCTAAACCATCATCAAGGAGCCACTGAGCAAATTAACTCCCACACCTGAGTCTCGGGGTGCACCTCAAAGGTGCTTGGGTGGCCACGATGCCACGACACGAGCCCTGAGTCACACGACAGGCACAGCCAGGAGCCAGAACCAGCCCTGGGGTGGTGGGGGGCAAGGCCGGAGGGGAAACAGAGCCACATGTGACGGGAAAGCGGGAGGAGGTGCAGGAAACAGGGAGGAATGACAAGCTCAGCCCAGGGGGACGCAGGGTGGGGAGGACGGATGGCAGAGCTGGGGGTTGGCTGGGGACCAACAGGGCTGGATCCAAGGGGGTTCAGGCCAGGGCACAGCAGGATGGTCACCCCATCTCCCACTGCAGCACCCTGAGGTGGCCTCTCCGCTGCCAGTGGGTGTCACCATCCTCACTCAGGTCCCCAGTGGGGACACAGCTCCATGTGTAGGGTGGCAGGGAGGGTGGTTGGAGCTGGCTGCTCACAGGTGTAAATCCACAGAGCCCCCCTGGCAGGATGCTGGGGACACACGACCTCCTGCTGGGCCAACACTGGACACACGGTGCAACCCGGGCTTGTGCCAAGGGCCCTGATACCACCACACGATGTCCCCAGACCCAGGCTCAGTGCCAGCCCCTCCTGAACAGCCATTTCCCTGCCTGCACCCGAGGTTTGCTGGCACTGCCCAGCACTCCCCAGGGATGGCAGCCCCTGCTGCCCAGCACAAGTTTTCTGTGACACAATTAAGAAAGTCTGTGTCAACAACAACTTCCTCTGGGCGCCTGGAGGAGCCTCAGCACCACCAGAAAAAATAAATGACCCAGTTGTCAGGTACTGCTACTGGGGGGCTGGAGAGAGGCCAAGGGGCCTGATCCTGCCTGTGGGCACGGCCTGGCCGGGCAGGAG